TTCGTTGAGCCGAGACTAATCAAAATAGCTTGTCGGAGCGTGATTTATGGACTTGCAAGCTTGGCTGGTTCACTGACTGACTGATGGACATGTGGCACAGATTTGTAGCAGTTTTGTAGAGGTTAACATTTTTGTTTTGAGGAATGCATTTTTAACTAATTGAATGCTTTTGAAGATTGATGATTTTTCTTATCTACAGTAAATGGTCAGAATCAGAGCTGGTAAATATCACGGCCGTTATGTGACAATGAGAAAACAGGTCCTCTCACTATCACGAGACGAAGCTACGTTAGATGAGCTTTCTAGACATTTTTCAAGCGCTCATGAGAATAATTCTCATGCGGTTTTGACATCAAAGTTTCTATCTAATTTAGATGAATTTAGGCAAGCAACAGTATATAATCGGTAGAGAGAATATATTTTTAAGATTTCCACGGTACAGGTAACAATAGTAATAATAAATGAGCTAGTAATAGCGATGTTCACAACACTGTCACGTTCTGTCATGACAAAAAATTCGATGTAAATATCGCATGAGATCTTTCATTGAAAATTACATTTGCCAGCCCTGGTCGGAATAGTTCACCGTTAAAAGCATTTAAGCCATAGAGCAATATGATTGCCAGAGTGATGAATGCGATGGGACACCCAACCAGAAAGAGTTGTCGAGTTATTTGGGAGCTGGCTGTGGCTAAGTTTAATAACGTCTCTTTAAACTGTTCCCCTGGTAGAGGAGAATTTAGTTCATTCGAGACGGTATTTGGGAGCTGGGTCATTCTAGTGTGAGGCTAAATTAATCATATCGTCCGGTCATTTTCCACAGAGGTGGCGCTGTTCCATTGGTAGGAAGTGATATAAATCCCCATATAGAATTTGAGTGTAGTGGGAATAATTCGCTTTCGGGGCGGTTCAGGTAAAAAAAAAAGTGAACGAAAACCTACATAATTTGTAAGGGACTTTATCCTTCAGTGCTTTCCCGGAAATTATTGTTAAACAAGCTGCAATGAAATAAAAATGATTTCCCCATACAATTTTACCTGCTTTGCTACCAGTCCCCAGAGAACCAAAAAAATTCAAATTTGAGAGAGAAAATTTGCTCTCACTAGTTCAATTTCTCAACATGCCATGTATTTTGATGACACACTATTTGTGATTTCCCTCTCACAGACTACAACATAGAGTACGTGGCATGGCAAAACATGTCTGGTACCTCTATTTATGCATTTAGATTAACATGTATTTAGAAGTCCTTCCTTTTTTACATATTCTGCACAAAAGATACTTTCTGGCCCGCTCATAAATATTCAAAAGCGACTTGAGCAAAGTTGTTACTTAGTGTTTGAAGTACAAGTTTTGAAAATCTGAATCAAATGGAGTATAAGATTTTTTTTATGTTCGATAGGGTGTAGGAGTGTCGTTTTTTCATGTAGTTTATCCAAAACCCCTATACAAAATTCAAACTAAAAGCGCCAGCTCAACCTTCAACCAAATGAGCTAAAACTTTCAGAGAATGGTTTTTTCACTTAAAGGCACAAATCTAGAGGTTGGCCAACCGTGGAAAATTAGAACTTTTATTTTTGTGGGTCAATCTACTGGTGATCCATAGTATATTTAAGCTCCAACCATGTAACATTAAATGCGGCAAGGTGGCAATAAATGTAATGCCTTCAAAACCATTCTTACTTTCCCGCAATGGACAATTAAAACATTATTTAGTTGTTTTCGAATTGACGAGCACAATTTGCGTGAATCATGCTTTCCTATATAACGTTATCTAGAAAACTCTATCTATTTTCCCCAATGTGGCGTGACATGTACCAAGCTTGCCGGCGCCGGTGGTGTAGTGGTCAGCGTGACTGCTTTCTAACACCCCGATGGGTCTGGGTTCAATCCCAGCCGAGGTCGGTGGGATTTTTCTGAGGCATACAAATCTCTGGTCACGTCTTCCTTCGGAAGGGAAGTAAAGCCGTTGGTCCCGGCCCATGTGTGTTGTGAATGGGTGCGATATCCTACGCAGGTGTGGAAGCTGCCTTCCTGCACATTCAATTGCCGTCAATGGATGGCAATCGGTGTCCGTCGGTGATTGGTACTAGATTGCGGAACAGAGACCGACGTTAAATAAAGGAAAGATGTACCAAGCTTAATCATAGAGGAATAGGAGGAGCTGTCAAATTAGCACCAGAGCATCAGAGAAATTTGGTTTCATTCGAGTTGTTCGCAGATGACAGGCGTTGCTGTCCTGTGGTCAAACTCCGTCATTCACTTAATCAGCCATAGAACGAAAGAGACTACACATTTACTGGGCCTCACCTGTTTATGCTCATTGATTTTCCATATGTGAATTTGGTTCCAAACATCAACAAACCATCGTTGCTTATGGCTTGTTGTCGTTTTGAACCAGTTATGCGAGGTAGGCGACGATTGTTCGTATTTGACAGTCACCTCCCCCAGGTTTGCACTGCACTGCCCTCTGTGAACAATTAACGGAAAACAGATTATGTGTAGTTTCCGATAGATTTCACCGCCAACAACAGGAGTGACATCTGATGGAAAATGAATGCAGAAAATTGACAAAATGCTTAATTGCATTTCTCGCAAAAAAACGTATGCCGATGATGTAAGAAGCTTATAGGGTAAATGTTCGTTGTTGAGTGTTTTCGGAAACCATCATTTTTTCGGTAATTTCACTGCATTCTCTACCCAAAACACTTCGCTGAATGTATTCAAACGATTTTGTAGACTTTCAACTTCAATCTGATTAGGTTTTACAACTGAGCAAACTCATTTTGTCGGGTTTTGCTAAAAATTAAACATACGTATTACAAAATGTTGCGGATCTAGAGTTGCCGATAATAAACCAGCAGGGTAACACGCAGTTCAAATGGAAAGGTTACCAAAGAAAAAGAGGTTTCCGACAATAGTCACACTCACGTGAATACTTTGGAGCGTTGTAAAAGCGTTTTAAATTGGTTTTGAACAATTCAATCAATTTTAATTGATAGAGCAGCGGGCAGCAGATGAATGTAAACAAAAAAACTGCATATGTATGCGTTACGTCGAGAAAAAGTCCATGGAAGTAAGGACGCTGCTTAAATTGACGAGAATACGTAAATGTGAGGTGTATATAGGACTTAACCTCCGCATTACCCTACCCCTCATAGTTTAGTGTGTGATGATGGCACCACTGTACAGTGGGTGCCGTGTGCGGCAACCCTAGTATCGGTATTCATTGAGTCGTCAGTATTTGGTTTGGTAATAATTACTGGACGATTACTTGTTCCCTTCGGTCGGGTAGTTGGGATACCACAGTAAACTCCCTTACTTACATTGCTTTGTCAGTTGGTTTTCGCGTCAGACTGGAATAAAAGAGAAAATAAATTTTATTTGTTAGAAGTGTCGACGATTTTATAATACAGTAATGTCCCGATTTTGTCAGCCCTCTGATGAATTTAGGGCTGACAAAATCGGGACATTTTTTTTCGCTTAACTTTTTTAACATAATATCTTTAAATGCTGTTTGATAATGCAAGATTTATGTTTTAGGAATCATTCAATATATACGAGCCTATTTAGGGGGGCGGGGGAGCTGGAATTTCAAACTTTTCGTAAGTGTCATATAAGGAAAGACATTCTTACATTGATGGTGTCGAGGGGGGAGGGGGGTTGCTAAATGGACCACACATACATACATACATAACGTTGCAATGTTGTCCTTTTGACAATAGCAAAATGAGGGGGTGCGACGCGAACACTGGCACGGTAACCATAACACGGCGATAGAGGAAATGCTTCGTCAACCCGCAGGAGTGCCAACCGGCACATTAGGATCGACGCCAGTAAGATCCTTATTACGGCATGCTGGACACGGGATGGAACTATGGACACGACACGGCACAATGGATTGGATACCACGCTACAGGGCTGACAGTCGTGCTATTCTGCTCCCTAAGTAAAGAAGGGTGACACCTTCTTGAAATGGCGAGTGGGCTAATAGTGCGGCTGCCCCCGTCCCGGTAAAACCTTGGCAGGCCTCCGGATACGTTCAAAACTCGTCACCAATTGGTGATTGGTGAGTAGTAGTCTCCGATGTAACACTTCTGACTTACGCCGATCTGGCTCTGAACACGGCCCCCATGAAGGACCGTGTTAACCCTAGCATGGCCTCCCTGCTTGCATAGATAACCATGGGATCACGATAGGAGACTACATACAACGAGTGGAGGTAGCGGCCCGGAGGGAGGACCCATCAGAATGGAGAAAATCGAAAAAAAAAAAACAAAAAAGACGAAACTGAAAAAACCAAAAAAAAAATATGAAGGACGCCGGCAAGACGGCAGATAGTGAAAACGGAGGAGCGAACGTGTTCGCAAGAAGCGGAAAGTTGCAGAGATCACCAGCGTCGAACCAGGTGACCACAGCGAGTTCCAGTAGTAGCATACCCCAAGTGGAACAGCATGGATCCCAAGGAGAGCGGCTAGGTGCGGTGCCATGCCAAATATTCACACCGAAATCCAGCAGTGGCAAACAGCAAGAATTGCAGCTTGGGAGAACCAAAATGACGGAGGTTAGGAGGAAGATCGATGAACTCTATGTGTTCGTGAAAGATAAGAACAACATACACAAGGAGGTCAAGCTACTAGCGACGGTCATAAAATCCGGCATAGCTGTGGCAGATCGGGAACTGTAAGAATGGAGAAAAAGAGCCGAAGCGGCCGAAAAGGCTCTGCTTGAGGCCAAGGAGAATGCAAAGCTGGCTGAAGCGCAGGAGACGCCGAAGGGACCAACGAATCCACGTCCGGAGAAAAGAGATAGGGAAACGCCAGGAGACGAAGAGGACCCCAAAAAACACAAGGACGACGAATACGGGGACAATGAGCAAGAAGATGGAGAAGACAGTGATTGGCGTAAAGTCGAAAACCAGAAGGAGAAGAGGAAAAAACTGAAGGAAGAGGAACAAAGGAAGAAGTAACAGAAGAAGAAGGAGGCGAAGGAAAAGAAGAATGAAGAGGATGAAGAAGACGGAAGAGAGGAAGAAGGAAGTCAAGAAGAAGGAAAACCCCAGGCATCGTAGGAAGAGAAGTAAGGGTGACGCTCTGGTTATCGAGGCGAAAGACAAAACGACATACGCAGCACTCCTCCGGAAGGTGAGAGAGGATCTGGAGTTGAAGCAACTAGGCGAGAACGTGGTGAAAACCAGGTGCACCCAGAAAGGCGAGATGCTCTTCGAGCTGAAAAAGGACCCGTCGGTGAGGAGTTCAGCCTTCAAAGAACTCGTCGAAAAATCGTCAGGGGATCCAGCATCGTATAGGCCTATATGCTTGCTGGATACAGTCGGAAAGCTATCGGAGAAGATCATCCTCAACAGGCTAACGAAATGCACGGAGAATGAGCATGGATTGTCGGTGAGGCAGTTCGGATTCCGTAAAGGGAGATCAACAGTGGATGCAATTCGGACAGTGGTTGAGAGTGCCGAGAAAGCGTCTAAACAGAAGCGGAGAGGAGATCGATATTGCGCCGTGATAACGATCGACGTGAAGAACGCATTCAACAGCGCCAGCTGGGAGGCCATCGCCGAAGCACTGCATGGAATAAGGGTTCCTAATTCCCTGTGTAGCATTATAAGGAGTTACTTCCAGAACCGGGTTCTAGTCTACCAGACGGACATGGGAGAGAAATCAATCCGGATCACGGCGGGTGTGCCACAAGGCTCCATCCTTGGCCCAACGCTCTGGAACGCGATGTACAACGGCGTGCTAACGCTGAAGCTGCCCAAAGGAGTCGAGATCGTAGGATTTGCGGACGACGTCGTGTTGGCGGTAGTAGGCGAGACGTTGGAAGAGGTGGAAATGCTGGCAACCGAGGCGATCGACACGGTTTCCAACTGGATGCAAGGAGCGAAGCTGCAGATAGCCCACCACAAAACGGAAGTGCTATTGGTCAGTAACTGTAAAGCTGTTCAGCGAGCAGAAATTACCGTCGGGGAGAACGCCATAGCATCAAAGCGCGTGCTGAAGTATCTTGGAGTGATACTCGATGACCGACTAAGCTTCAATAGCCACGTCGACTACGCATGTGAGAAGGCGGCGAAGGCCATCAATGCGATAGCTAGAATCATACCGAACAACTCTGGACCAAGCAGCAGCAAGAGGCGTCTTCTGGCTAGTGTATTGTCATCGATACTGAGATATGGAGGTCCAGCCTGGGATGCAGCGCTGAAAACGAAGAAGAACCAAAGAAAATTGAACAGTACGTTCCGCCTCATGGCCATGCAAGTCGTGAGTGCGTACAGAACAATTTAGACGGAAGCAGAATGCGTTATCGCCGGTATGATACCCATCGTCATCACCTTGGCGGAGGACACCGAATACTATATGCGAAGAGATACCAGAGGAGTACGGACATTGGTGAGAACGGAGTCGATGGCTAAGTGGCAACAGGAGTGGGACGCAGCGGAGAACGGTAGATGGACACACAGGCTAATACCGATTCTTTCGACCTGGGTGAACAGGAAGCATGGAGAAGTCAACTTCCATTTGACGCAGTTCCTGCTTCAGGAAGTACCTGCATCGCTTTGGACACACAGCGTCACCCCTCTGTCCGGAGTGTGGCAACGTGGACAAAACGCAAGGAGCACGTGGTTTTCGACTGCCCAAGATTTGAGGCAGTGCGAGTGGAGATGCCGGCCCTTAGCGCGAGAAATGTCGTCAGTGAAATGTGCCGGGATGAGAGGACGTGGAGCGTCGTCAGCAGGGCAGTGACGCAAATTTTGTCGGAGCTGCAGCGAAAATGGAGAGATGATCAGCGAGGTAGAAACGCCGACAAGCTTAGCTAAAGAGATGTGCTTGAGCACAGCCCCCCCCCCCGACGAAATACTCTAGGGGAGTTCCGGGGGGATAGTGTCTTGAGGCGAGTAAGGCTTTAGTGCATTAAGAGTCCCACACTGTGCCAGAACGAGAACAAACACTTTTTTGAAGCTTTCCTTACTATAAAAAAAACATACATAACGTACATAATTTTCAACTAGCCCCTCAACCCCCCTTCTCCTGCTTTGATCTTGCCACCACTGGACATTTAATTTTCGAAAAATGTCATTATTGAGCTCGACAATCAATAAAATACGAATACGACCAAAACTAATTGAATCATATAGGCTGACAAAATCGGGTCAAAAAGCTGACAAAATCGGGGGTGGACAAAATCGGGGGTAGACAAAATCGGGGGCTGACAAAATCGGGTCACCACTGTATAGACTTATATGAAGCTTGATAAATATAGCCAGAAGACAGCGAGCAGGAGAATTGTGGGTAAAGTAAAATTAGCAGTATAATGAGCCTGGAGGTTAGGGTGGGGCTTATTTTTCAAAATCTTTTGGGGACACGTTTTCTCATGTGGAAAATGATTACTAGGGCCAGATGAACAACATATCCAAAAATGAGCGTTTTTCGTTAAGATTAAGAGGTGGCGCCAGAGGCCTAAGTCCAATATATCGAACGAAGCTGATTTTCGAACAAGTCTAGTGCGTTTTTAAGTAGACACGTGATTTTGTCCGTTTGGCGATATCTTTCATTATTTTTGAGATATACGGCATAGCAGGTTTGGACTTACACCCACGAATATGATCTAGCGCAAACAGTATTCTTGGCAGTGCTAGATGCAGTGAGCGTATGAATACGATACAGATCGAGCGAGAACGCCATAGTGAGAGAGAGAGCAAGAGAAGAGAGTGTGTGAGAGAGAGAGAGGGAGAATGATTAATTAAATGTGTTCAATATATTTGTTTGAAAATGCATTTATCCATAAAATCCAATTTTCGAATATGACCTCACTATGACGAATAGTGTCAAGTCAGTTAGGTTTTTCTTGTGGAAGTTAACGTTTACAATAAGATTCTGGAAACTTGTTTCGTTTTGAGTTACATTACGATTATAATCATGAACTTGCCGGATAACCCTTTCAGCGTGGTCGTTTACGACTTTCAAATTATCGACAATGTTCATACCATGAATATAGGCTTCATTCTTGATCCAGGACGATACAGGGACAGTGAGGAAACTGCTGTTCATACCTAGTGTATCAAACAATTTTGCTGTGTTGCGAGAAAAAAAAAATGCATTCAAAAAGTCTTTGAATGGTAGATCCCGCTTTCTCTGTGGTTTCTTACCTTCTGGTTTCAATCGAATCGACAGTGCAAGATTATGTCGTTCCATGTCGGGAAGACTTTGATCCAATACAGCAAGCCCAACTAGTTCCTCGCTTAGATACCAACCCAAGTAACATTACAAGTTTTATGGAGGTTTTATAGCATGCTACAAGTCTAAATCATGGTCTACAGAACCCTTATAAAATCAAAATTGTTCCTTGGAAAGTGTGCAAAACTAGCCCCACCCTACTGAAAGGGCTACCCGTCGAATTCATGATTATAATCGTAATGTAACTCAAAACGAAAATTTCCAGAATCTTATTGTAAACGTGAACTTCCACAAGAAAACCCTAACTGACTTGAAGAAAAGTACTATTGATGATAAGTATTCGTCATAGTGAGGTCATATTCGAGAATTGGATTTTATGGATTAATAAAATTTAACACAAATATAATGAACACATCTCTAGATAAACATTTCAAAATGTCCTATCTGCATTGATCAATTCTCTTCCGTTAATAACTCAGCTGTAAAAGCTTTCTCTATTGTATTTGACGTTTTGGATGTTAGATAAGAATCACCTTTATCAAACTATGTTGTAAAATTTGCACCATTAGGACCATTTGAAATGTTCATCGAGATTTAATCATTCTCTCTCTCTTCTCTCGCTCTCTCTCCCACACTCTCGCGTTCTCGCTCGATCTGTATCGTACTCATACGCTCACTGCATCTAGCACTGCCAAGAATACTGTTTGCGCTAGATCATATTCGTGGGTGTAAGTCCAAACCTACTATGCCGTATATCTCGAAAATGGTTAAAGATATCGCCAAACGGACGAAATCACGTGTTTACTTAAAAACGAACTAGACTTGTTCGAAAATCAGCTTAGTTCGATATATTGGACTTAGGCCTCTGGCGCCACCTCTAAATCTTAACGAAAAACGCAATTTTTTTTAAATGTTGTTTGTTTGGCCCTAGTAATCATTTTCCACATGAGAAAACGTGTCCTCGAAAGATTTTGAAAAATAAACCCCACCCTACTGGAGGTGGGTGGGTTCGATTCCCAGTCTATTCTAGGAATTTTTCGGTTTGGAAAATTTCTCGACTTCCCTGGGCATAGAGTATCATTGTCATTGTCACACAATTATACTAATGCAAAAATGGTACAGGCATCGAAAGCTCTTAATTAATAACTGTGGAAGTACACATAGAACATTAATTGGAGAGCACGCAATAAGCTAATATGCGATATGGAATAAGTTTGAAATTCTAGGAAGAAGAAGAAGAAGAAGAAGAAGAAAAGAAGAAGAAGAAGAAGAAGAAGAAGAAGAAGAAGAAGAAGAAGAAGAAGGAGAAGGATTCAGTGCTTTTCTCAGCGGCCTATTTTTGCAAGTGGAACTAACATACGTTTATGTGCAGGACAGTGCAGTCAAAAAACCAATAAATCCCTTTTACAGACTACAAAATATACTACCTGTTACTGCAAAACATGTCCGATGTCTCCATATAAGCTTTTACATTAACATCACAGAACAGAAGTGGATCTTTGGATCCAAAAGTGGCTCCATATTATTTTTGTAAACACTAGCACACCTAGCGGTCGAAGGCAAGCTTTGGTTGCAGTTTATATATTTAGACCATTTTTACGTTTAATCGTCTTTCTCTATCCAGCACTTAGGGATGAATGGATGGTTTGTTTTCCCACTAATCTGTTTCTCTCTTGCTCACACTCCTTCAGTTCAATAATGTGCATTAGTGTGCGCCGGTTAAACTTCAAAAAGCTCTATGGGCAGCATGCTTTGATGGTGTGAGTGTTCACAGAAAACCTGTTTGAAGTGCATCCACAAGCATCGCTTGGTGATCACAAATGTTCCACTTCTGTACTGTTACATCCTACTCGCACCGTAAAGTGGGTAGAGCACCTTTTCGTGGTACGTTACGGGATGTAAGAACTACCACCGATTCCTAGTCCTCAGTCTACTTCAAACTAGGAGAACAGGATTTTTCAGTAATCAAAGGAACACATCTTAGTCCTGGTTACTTTTTATGTCTTGTTGATAGTGACAAGACTCGGACATGATCTTGAAACTAGGAAAAAATGAGTTAGTTAGTCTTCATTTATGTGATTCCTAATCTTCTATTCGTTGTTCCCTAGGTTGAAGTGGTTAAGACTAGGGTTCTGATGTATGGTCATTGGCCGTGTCATTGCTTAACTTTGTTACTAAGGAATCCAATTTTGACTGACAAAGAGGCGCGCCTTTGGAGGGTGCTTCAACACTCCGAAGGGTATAAATAGCGGGACCTTTCAATTAGAGTCGGATCCTTGCGATAAATGCAAGAATGACAACTGTAAAAAAAAATCGTCATTTCTCAATAGTGATGGAATAATACGACATGCACTAAGATAAGGACACGGGCTCTACTACAATAGATCAAATTACTGGTCGCAGTGGTGGTAGGTCCCGAGCGGAGAAATAAAACATCCTACTCTCAAAAGATTTTTAAATCTAAATTGTTTAAAAGTTACGTTGAATTACAACTCTCCTGACCGATGCATAGCTTGGTATAAAGGATGAAAATACGATCTTTGTATAAAATTGCTTTTAGCAAAGATCTGCTGTAGCCCAACGAAAGTAGGATCGTCAGTTGGTATTTATGGACAAAGGCAAGATTTAGACTCAGCATCAGAACGACGTAGCTCACTACCTTAAATCTTCATTTCCCACACTCTCCAGTCTGGCCAGTTCGTGCGCATCATGCTGCTTGGCATCGGCAAACTGGGGCCACTTGGCGGTCAGTTGTCACACCTGCAATAATTTGCTCTACGAGAAAACGCTTTTTCCGGGTTGCAGCATATCGAAAAGAGACTCCGTCACACTGCTCCATGCATTCAGCTCGCCTTTGATCGATCACAGTTCCGTTTTGGATACATCCTTGAGCTTCAGTCGTCCACCAAGCAGTTGGCATGTTTCCCCTTTCGTACTGGATTCCTTCAGAACGGCCTATAGACCTGTATACAGGAACGTGCAATTAAAATTCAATTTCCATGGATTACAAAATTCATATTTCATACCAACTCGTTTGACCGATTTTCAATTATACACTGATCAAATTCAACCCCGTTATTCCAATTTTGAGGCCGAATTTTAATCTGATCAATGTATAAATATTACTAAACCATTAAATGATTTATTTTTAAACTATCTTCGTTTGATAATAGTTAGGTCAATTTCGTAGGTTTCAAACTTTAAAAAGTGTTGAGCGGGGGTGGGTATATTGTGTTGCTGCTAGGGTGGGGTACCTAGGGGGCTACCAGGACAAACACCTCGGCGGGCTTGGCTAAGCAACGGCCTACCAATGAGGGTGGGTCATTCAACGACCTCTTTTGATGGCTAGCAGAGCTGGAGAACTATTTCTGAGTCTCAAGATCGGCTGGAGTACTTTACTCGGCAAATCAGACCTCGGATAAGGTGTAGTAAAAAGAAGCTGGTGAAATACAATTTTACCATTTATTTCCCTAATTTAACATGGTGTGTGTGTGGGGGGGGTGTGGTGTGTAATACCTGACCGGCCGGTGGCTGCTGGAATTTACTGGTGGGGGTGATGGTTAGACTGATGCAAAATTTGACTTTTTCGCTCCACAGTGCTTAAATGGTTTCAAATTGGGTCCTGATTCGCCTCTCAAAGTTACAACTCATTTGGTTAGAAACAGACTTCGCACAAGCCATTTGAAGTTTACATGTAAATTACTATGGGAAATCTCAGCTTTTTGTTCATTGCCTTCTAGTCTTTTTCCATATTTAGCTGCGAAACAGTTCGCTAGCCATTCTTATTGAAAATTTTCTCAGCTACAACTTTGCTGACGATCATTTCTATGTAAAACGAGACAGGAACAAGTTATTAATTATTTAAGAGATTGGTAAACTTATGACATGATTAAGCAGCTGCTCTGTAGGCAACACTGTATTTTGCAGTGTGACATAGTAGCCATGATTTTTGTGTCCTATTCAACGCCCCAGAAACACCAATGTTGCCTGCTGAGCAGTTGATTGAGCATGATCATAAGACATCAGCGCATTGAACCATTGATAACTTTCGATCCTTGCATTTAATCAAAAAGTGGTCATGAGCAAAGTTGTAGCTGGGAAAATTTACTACAAAAACAGTTGAAAGCTTTTGAAGCAGACCGATATGGTGAATTATTAAATAGACATGAACAAAAATCTTGGTTTTACCATAGTAATTCCCATACAAACTTCAAATGGTTTGTGCCATCTCAGTTGCTCACCAAATGGGTTCAAATTTTGAGAAGTTAGTGAGGATCCGATTTGGAATCGCTTAAGTATTGTGGAGCGAAAATTTAAAATTTTGCATCACTCTAGTGATGGTGCTAGTGGTGGTGGTCTCGATGATGGTGGCTAGCTTGATGGCGGGAAACAGTGAGGCTGATAAAGACTCGGTGAAACCGTCTGGCGACGCCGGTCGGTTAGCACAATGGCGGACTCTGGCGAACAAATGTTGGCTATGCTGAGAGTCTGTGGTTCCAGGCTTGGAGATGGCAGACTTGGATTTCACGGGTGTGTGGAGACCTGCTCGGTACCATTTGGGGTGGAACCCAAATCCTAATCTTACCGAGTCCAACCTCGGTATCGTCGAGAGGCCAGTTCTCCACCAAAAGCTACCCTCACAACTAACGGGTCCTAAAGGGCACAAAAGAAACGGTCTTAGGCCCGATTGTCACATGTGACCTTCTTTAATCCCGGTTTCATACCTGACTCTCTCTCTCTCTCTCTCTCTCTCTCTCTCTCTCTCTCTCTCTCTCTCTCTCTCTCTCTATTCACTCCTGCTACTACGACACTCTTACTCTTCGTCACTAAACTTTTAACGGATTTAAGTTTATGCAACTGCTCTTGTTTGAGTTTACTTGGCAAGTGGCGGAAGAAGTTTCCGTGCTACTCGCCGTTCCCTTTCTCTGTACTCCTCGTACCCATTCTCCTATGTTCCACTGAACTCAATTTGTTGGCTCATCACCTATTCCAGCAGTTGGTAGTAAACTGTGGTAGTGTATAGTGTACTAAAACTAGGGGTATCAAATTGGCAATTATTATTCAAATTTAAATGGACATGCAGAATACGATAAACATACAGAAATACATCAACAAAGTTACAAACGGTAACAATTGTCAAGGCACCCATTAGATTTTATTTAAGGATCCGTGTTTCCGCATAAATCTATCATTTCCGTAGATCTTGCAAAACTGTAGAGTAGCTTTGCACTTGCACCAACCGGTGGAAAATAACGATTTTAAATTGGTTCACTACTGGACTAGCCTATTGGTCCCAAGAAAATCGATTAACGTACCCCATTCTAGTTGAAATTCTAGTACTACACTATGTTTGTTTTGATTCACTATGAAAGTTTGACAGATAAAATGAGGGGTTTGTGGTTTTTCCTATGTTTCGAGGAGTGCATCGATTAGCTTGGGACCGAAGAGAGTACTAGAGATGAGCCAAAAAGTTGAGCTCGTTTCTTCGGGACCTTCTGGTCTTAGAGTTACCTCTATGCTATTATCTACACTATCGTGAAAATACATACTGGATGGAAAATTGTCTGATTTTAATTTGGTCTTCACATAATTAAAAAAGTTTTTTGGACAAGATTTAATTTCATGTTCAGTTTTTAAATTAAACTCTACTGTGTGCCTACCGTAAAGGACAACCATGCCTTAACCTGAATTATTAAGGTGAGTAAGCTATGGTAAAGAATTTTGGACACCATTTTTGTATGCGGTTGAAAATTATCCACAAATCTTCCCAAATTGCTACCAAATTCATCCTTTTCCGCAACCAGAAAACACCCTCAATTAGCATAATTTTTAGCTCCTGCTGCTTCTTTTGATTTTACATTTGATCCGCAAGGCCAGCTGAAAACATAGGCGGTCATTTTTCGTCGAGTTTTTGTTTCGTCCGGTCGCCCTTAATTCTAGTCTAGACGCTTGCCTCCTGTGCAAAGTTGACCGACGACAGCGATTAGATGATGTAACTTAATCTTTTGCCTTGGTCCTTCGTCGCATTGAAATGATATGACGTAAATTCAACTTTTGAAGGTTACGTGCAGAAGCGACGGAGTTTCCTGGAAGATGGTCGATTCTTAGACGGGGTCGCCGAAGCTGCCGATGATGAATTGAAACGAGTGATGAGTGGGATGAGAAGCGAAATTGTAAATTTTAGCCTGCAAGGAACCTATTTAGCGAAAATGTTCTCAACATCCTGCACTAGGTTTATAACAATCATCGTTAAAGGAAATCAGTATAACTGCATAACATAAGCTGATTCAATCTTGTTATTTCCTTCTAGTCGGGTTTTCATATTTTCCAAACAACTCCCACCATAATTTGCCCA